CACACACACACACACATACACACGACACACCCATTCCCACCAGGGTGAAGTGAGGAAAATTCGTGTAAAATGCCTTTCCTAAGGACACAATGTCAGGTCCCTGCTGGGATTCAAACCTATGACCTTACGGTTGCGAGTCTGAGAGCCTAACCATTAGGCCACTGACGCAAAAGTCAGCACACAGTACTTTGACATTATAGTACATCCTGACTCCTGATTTTTTTTTTTTTTGTTGAGAACTTGCAGATCAACCTCGGCAATGGTTTTCGTTTCAAAACCAAGCAAGAGTTGAGAAACACTTCTTCCAGTTACATGATTAAAACACATCACTATCAAGATAGACAGATAAAAAGGCAGACACACAGGCAGGTAGGCAGACAGGCACGCAGGCAGGCAGACAGACAGACATACAGACACACTGACAGAGAGAGAGAGAGAGACAGATAGACAGGCAGGCAGACAGACAGGCAGACAGACAGACAGACAGACAGACAGACAGACAGACAGACAGACAGACAGACCCACAGACAGACAGACACACAGACAGACAGATGTACAACTTACACTCAAGAGATTGCTTCTCATCCAGGGGTTGATGAACTGGTAGGAGTGAGGATCTTTGCTCATGAAGTCCACCAGCCTGAAACAGACACAGTGACAATACAGATGTACAGTGTACAGAACATGGGAACTCCACAAGCTTGAAACAGAGACAGTGACAATGACAATATATAAATGTACAGTGTACAGAACATAGGAACTCCACAAGTTTGGAACAGAGACAGTGACAATGACAATATATAGATGTACAGTGTAAAGAATATGGAACTCCGCCACAAGTTTGAAACATAGTTTAGTTTTAGTAAGAGTTTTACGGCACTTGCAACACTATAAGGTCATATAAGTGACGAAGAATAGATGGGTTACAAGAGTGTAACAAATATAAAAAAGAAGGAGGAGAGATCAGGACGATAGATGTTTGATAGGAAAGAAGGAGTAAACTACACCAGAACACCCACCAACCACCCACTCTTGGAACAGAAACTATGAAAACATTGATAAAAAACATAAAGAACATGGGAACTCCACAAGTTTGGAACAGAACCAGAAACTATGAAAACATCGATGAAAAGTGTACAGAAAATAGAACTCCTGTGATTACAAAAAGGAAATGATGATAATGTAGATGAAAAGAGTAAAGAACAGAAACTGTACACATTTGGAACATAAAAATAAAAACATTGACGCAAAGTGACAAGAATGCAGAACTACACTGGTCTGAAACACCAGTCTGAAACAGAGTTTAGTTTTAGTTTTAGTAAGTGTTTTACGGCACTTGCAATACAATAAGCTCATATAAGTGCCATCTGAAACAAAGGATGATGATAATGTTGATGAAAAGTGTGAAGAATGCAGAACTCCATTTGTCAAAAAAGAATTATGATAATATATGAGGCATCATGGTGAAACTGCGCTAGCAAAATGGCATAATTTAACCTTTTAATTTGTTTCGGTGGCACTATGTCTATCGTTTGCTAAAATCAAATCCAAAATGAGCTGGCATTCAAAAAAAGAAATAGGCAAGGCAAGTTTTATTATTTTTAGATGATAAATAGTCTAGTTAAACAGTTTTCTTCTTTTACCGCAAAAGTAGCAAAAATGAGATGTGCCATTTTGCTTGGGTAGCGACGATATGCTCTTTAGATTAGCACAAACAAATCAGAAGACATTCAAGCTATCACAGTACAATTGAAGACCATAGTCTCACCACATTATGAAAGTAAGAGTACTATGAATAGGAAGGACTAACTATCAAGGTGGCACATTATGAGGTCATAAAATGTTTTTAAATGAATTTAAAGTTTTCCCATCGACTTTGTAACCCTCAAATTTTGTGGGAAAGGGTTTCACACGGATAAATAGCATCTGTATAGCGTATAACCAAGCTCGACAGCTATCTCTACGTGCTCTACACTATAATATTATTACTCCAGCAGACCCAAAACACTCAGAAACATTCTCAGCTTCCTGGGAAGCATACAGTGCAAGCTGCCAATTAAACGCTCAAACACTAACAAACTGACAAGACCTTTCGGAACTAGACAAAGAAAACACCGCAAGTTTTTGTTCTCTGTTCCTAGGTGCTCTCATTATAAGAGACTGATCTCCTGATCTAAGACATCTTGGGGGAACATATACATTTGAGTGAGGTTGTTTAACTTTTTAAGCCCTGAGTTTTTTCTATCGTTTCCCGAAGTTTTTTTCAACAGTCATCTAAACCTAGTGCACTATGTCTCATTATAACCCCAAAAGCTAGCCTCCAACTTCTAAATATCAGAAACAAAGGCTTAGTCATTACTAAAAAATTGGTTGGAGAATAGTTCCGAAAAACAAGCAAAAACTAGCACTAAATACAACGAAACAGTTGTCAGCGGTACTGGACGCTCCAAACGTCCGATGGGGTTCATTGAGTTAACCCAATCCGTACGTCGTGTTTTAATATCGTATCCATACGACGTGGGGAGCTCTGTGCCACCACTTTCCAAAGACGAAATTTACTCGTTAATCCGATCCGTACGTTTTGCATAGCAGTCTGTCAAAATGATTTTCTGAGAAATACATAAAGTTTCAAAGAGATCTTCGCACTAGAAGTATATAAGAAGAATACATCCCTGGGGGTACAAAAATTAAATGACCCCAGGGCGTACGGATAGGGTTAGGTAAGAAGGGGCTTTATTGTTAACACATTCTGGACAAAGGACAGCAATCTTGTAAGTAATTCTAACTATTGTAGGGAACCACTGAAGTTTTCTTAAAAGAAAAGAGATACGACCGTTCTTTCTCTTTTTTAAACACGATTCTCAGAGCTTGGTTTTGAAAGCGCTTTAGTTTTTCAAGTTTTTCAGGACATTTACAAAGAGAGAGAGTAGCGGTCATCCGTGTTTAAACAATCATCCCCACACAAAGATGACAACAAAAAAACACTGACGCCACTGTCTAGACCATCATCCCTACACCTGTCTCACCTTTTCTTGAGCCGTGCTCGCTTCAAGTGATGCGGCAGGTTCCAGATTTTAGCCAGAACATCATCGCACCAGTACTGGAAGTAGTCGGCTAAGGTGGCATGCCAGAACACCACATCCGACTCACGATTCAACAAGTGACTGTGAACTGCCTGTAATGACATAATCCAAGGAAAATATATCTTAGGACAGCTGATATCTAGAACATGCAGAGAAGCAAACAGTTCAGTTTGTTGGTGCCAACCTCACAACATTAACAACCACGTATATGTGGCACAACATGGAGGAACCAGGCACTCAGTAAACATACCCATACACACATGCAGACACTCATACCCACACACATGCACGTACACATACACACACACATACACACACACATACACACCCACACACACATACACACATGCCAGACACACAGAAATGCATCCAGATATACATACCCACACACACACACACACACACACACATACACACACACATACACGCACACATACACACACACATACATGCACACAT